ATCCATCCATCCATCCATCCATCCATCTATTCATCCATCCATCCATCCATCTATCCCATCCATCCATCCATCCATCCCACCCACCCACCTGCCCATCATTCCTCAATGCGTGGGTGGGAGGAAAGAGAGGAAGGGAGGGAGGGTGGGAGAGAGAGATGTGCTTGCCACCTGAATTATGGGTCCTCCATCACTGGAGGTTCTAAAAAATAGATTGGACAGCCATTTGACCCAGATGGTCTCTTGCCTTAAGCAGTGGGCTTGATTAGAAGACCTCTGGAGGCCCCTTCCAGCCCTATGATTGTAAGAGTGAAAATAATAGCCTCCTTCAGCTGGGTTCACATACTATGTTATTCTTAGGCTAACATGACACTATAACTGGGTTCACACAACAGGCTCTCTTCAACTCCTAACTCTCTTCACACCGTCTGGTAAGATCTGCAAACCCAATTTTCAAGTAGGGTGTGACGTCTTATTTTAGCCCAGTTGCAGAAGAAGAATTGGGAGAGCTGGTGGGGGGGGGGAGAATTAAACATGTTATCAGCCTAGAATTGTTACATTTCCACAAATGGCCTAAGAACAGCCCCTCTTAAATTCCGTCGACCCTTATCTGGCATCTAGTTTGTTGACTAGATTCTTTGTGTGTCAGTTTGAGCAATAAATCTTCTGAAATGCAACTTTTTTTTTTGTATAGTCCTGATTCTTTGGGCCGGTATAATAATGGTCTTAAAATTACAGGAAGGCTAATTCTAGCGGAAGTCAGAATAGACTTCCTAAAAAGGGGAGAGGAGTTTTTTTAGAATGGAGCCTTTGACCCAAGCAATGAGTTGAAGGCCTTTTCTCTGGAGGCCCTTGGAGAGCTACTCCTTGGAGAAGGAAGTGTTGATTTCAGTCCTGCCCTGGTCCGAGGCCTGAATTGGATGGTTCCGAGATCCGTTTTCTTCTTGTTGTTGTTTTTTGAAGGAAGGATTTGGCATGCCGTCATTTGTGTCATGTCTAGTGGCTTTACCCGGGGCCATCTCTATTTTCTATCCCAAGATAATCTCTTACAGGCACCGTGTTCAGAGGTTGTACGCTACTAAATTGTAAAGTTGGGCTCTCTGACTAGATTTCCCTTGGTTGAGCGCTCTCTCTCTCTCTCTCTCTCTCTCTGTCTCTGTCTCCATCTTTCTTTCTCTCTCTCTCTCTCTTTCTCCCCGCTTCTTCTCTCTCTTGTTCTTTCTCTTGTTCTCCCTCCCTCCGTCTTTCTTTCTTTCTTTCTTTCTTTCTTTCTTTCTTTCTTTCTTTCTTTCTTTCTTTCTTCTTTCTTTCTTTCTTTCTTTCTTTCTTTCACTTTCTTTCTCTCTGTTTCTCTTTCATTTCTTTCTCTCTCTCCCTCCCTTCCTCTCTCTTTCTTTCTTCTGTCTTTCACTTTCTTTCACTTTCTGTCTTTTTCTCTTTTCTCTTTCTTCTTTCTGTCTTTTTCTCTTTCTCTCCC